AGAATTTTTACCAGAGCGCCCGATACAAGGATGGAGGGTAGAATAGCGAGCGCGGAAAGTCGGGGCACAGAAGGAATTTCATTGCCTTTGTTCGATGAGGGAAGTCAGGGCAGCGTAGAAGACAGAGAGAAATAAGATCGCGGATGGGATGAAAAAGCAAAGGAAAAGGGGAACCGGGGGAGATAAAGAAAACCGAGATTATACATCAAGTTCACCGCGACGAAGGAGTCGCTAGGACAGCGAGCGCGGTACGTTGCCGATGCCACTTGAGGCTGAATCGTATCTAAATGTGCCTCGTATATCAGAAATCGAACTGTTCCGCGGTACTGGTACACAGGCGGTTTACTTGCATCATTTTGTGCGGTCGCCGTTCCGTAATACCGCCGCTGCAGATGCGCCCAGGTCGTTCCACATTTCCCTCGACGTCGTGACAACCTACACGTGGAAGTTTCCTTTCCGTACTTCCTCGAGTTGGCTCAGGGGGAATCCACTGTTTTAGTATGAAATGATGTAGGATGCCGGCGAAACGATGCACTGGCTGATAAATCTCGCCAGATTTATGACGATATAAAGCTATTTCGTTCCCTTAAGTACAAAGGCGCGTCCTCTCGAGCCGGAAGATTTTTGCAGAGCCGGAAGTCGAACGATAAGGCGCCGAGGACGGATAACCCGACGATAGAAATTGAACCACGGTATCGCGACGAAAAGTAGAAACGTCCGGTTAGCAGGAACGGTAGCTTCCAAAGCGAGCACGTTAACGTCATACGTTCTCTGCTACCAGCAGAAATTAAAAGATTTATGGCTGCGCACAATCTCGCGACGGGATCTACATACCGCGCTTAAGAAACGAAAACAGAAGGGGGGATCAATTGGAGTTGCGCCAAAGTGACGTGCATTCGAGGATCGACAGTTTCGATTTGTTTACCCGCCTTATCGGTGCATACAGGACCTTTGATAAGCAATGGGATTCTGTATCGCGTCTGCGATGAGATCCAGTAAGGTAGGATTGGAATTACTTTGGCAAAAGGGGAATCAGACATTAGGATTTCTAAAGACTAGATGTTCAACATTAGATGGGGATTCGAAGAAATCGTAATAGAATTTTGCTCGTTTGCGAGATTAAGTATCACAGAAATATACTCGAAATCGGTATTGCTAGAAGAGTCTAATATTAAATTTCTAGAAATTTAGAGTGCGACAGCAAGCGTGCAAATGACTAATTTCAAGAAAAAAGAGCTCGTAAAATCTGTTTTTGCTCCGTTCGGTTATTAATCTAGATTTCCTTAAACGTTATAGAAAAGAGATTCCAAGGAGATCAGTATTTTATTACGAGAGAAATTGAACATTAGGATTTCTAGAGATAACATTACTCCGTTCATACAACTGATCCAAATGATTCAAAGACTTACTAATACACTTTTCAGAAGAGAAAATCTTCGACCATAGAAACCTTGATTTTCTATCGAGCAAAACAATTAATTCTCAAGTAAAGATAAATAAATTAAAAGACTAGAGAATTTTTCGTAGGTTTAATCCATTTCGTCGGCTCTGGTTCCAATCCAGAAATTAAACACAGACTTAATGACTTACTAATACACTTTTCAGAAGAGAAAATCTACGACTATAGAAACTTTGATTTTTGATTGACCAAAACAATTAATTTTCGAATAAAAATAAATAAATTAAAGGACTAGAGAATTTTTCGTGGGTTTAATCCATTTCGTCGGCTCTGGTTCCGCTTGAGAAATTAAGCAAGATTGCAATGCGCCAGGTATTTGGACGGTCAGAAAGTCGAACAGCTTGCGATGTTGTGTGCTGATATTTTTCATAGGGAAGCGAGCGATGCGGAAGAGAGCTCGTTAAACGAACGGTAAAAAGCGCAGAATGATAACAGCGATCAATACAACGGCCTATGTATGACGTTTCCTTCCGCGGTCCGGATGCAACCGATATGTTCTCTTATGTGAAACTGGAGAATCGATGGTACCGGTAATTACTCGTCAAGATCGTTTCCATGTTAGTCGATCGCCGCGGTAAATCGTATTTCGTGCCAGTGGAAATAACAAATCTATGGGTTTCTAATTGGCCCCTTGTCACAGATCACAAATAAGACTTTGACGAGAGAGGGATCACGTTCGAACGTATAATCGAGGAGACCGCCGTGTCCCCGTTTCTCTCAAACGAACTTCTTCATCGCATCCCAGACTTTTTGCTGTAATTTAAACCTAACGGCGGCGGAATGAGAACGAAAAATTCTCGTTTTCTGCTCGAATCTTACCGAACGACGGAAGTGTGTCGTCGTATCAATTCCGAAGTATCTTCGAGGTCCAACGACTTCGATTTAATTACGTGTAACTTAACGAACGTGTACTATTTAATTTTATTTAAATTCCTATGCCTCGAAAACGTGAAAATGAACGAAACGGGCGTGTACCGTGACTTCCACTCAGCGTCGTTTCGAAAGCGATTTCCACATCTGTGCGTTTCCCGTGTAAGATTCGAGATCCGGAGACGGCCAACGTGGGACACAGCGAAAACAATATAAGAAGGAAAGGAAGCTGCTTAGTCTTCCGATAAAATTTCATCCTTGGCTGCGAAGTGTCCAGCGATGTAACTAAAAAAGAACTATGGCGCTCCGGGGTCGAGTTGAGAGATCCGGGGCAATGCGACGGTTAGGGTTCGAAACCGAGATCATACTTTCGGGTAGATAGCGAGGCACGAGCAACGAGAGACAACGTGGAAACAATATGAGAAGGAGAGGAAGCTGCTTAGTCTTCCGATAAAATTCTATCCGTACCTGCAAAGTGCTTACGATCCGACGATGCTCCATTATCTCGTAATGCGGTAGCATTATAACGAGTAAGTGGTACCTGTCTCCTACATGTAGGCCCCCGGAAGTGGCCGCTGATTACTGTAATGCGCTTACCCCTCAACCCGTAACGAGGAACATCTTCCTACTGTCTGGCGTTCCACGAAAGATTCCACATCACGGATCGTGTCGATACCGCAAAAGGAAGAAACGTCCATTTGTGTTGCGGTTGCGATTGTGGTCGCAGCCTACACTCATTAAAATTAGTTATAGGCATTAGTTCGCGAAACCCTGCGCGAGAAGGGTAATTGAATCTCTTTGACGCCTGGTAGAAAGCGATATTTCGTCGTTCGACGAACCCTCCCGCCCCCCCCACGTGTCTCCCGCCGGGGGTGAAACTTTTCCACGAATCACGATCGAAAACCGTTACTCTATCGAGATTAATTATGATTTCGTAAAGAGGGATGACACCAGGGCGGAGAAATTATTACGCCACTTAGCGGTTCCCATCGGGCCACGAATAACGAGACGTTCGAGATGCTTCGCTGGAAGAATGATAAGCATTGATCAACATCAGTTTGACGCCGTGTCATTGAATTAGAATGTTAACGAATTAGATTTCGGATCGCGAAGGTCCGGATGAAAATGGAATTATGCTTGAGAGGTTCAGGATTCGGCACAGAAATAGACGTGTATTTCTTTTGTGTTATATTTTCAGTCAGGAAAGAATTTTAATTGTAGAATGAAATATTTCACGGTAAATAGAGAAATATTGAACTGCGAAGTCGAACAAATTTTTCCCAATTCTGTTTCGAGTTCAACCGGGATTCAGAATTGTCTATATTAAAGAATATTTTCAGGAAGACTTTTTGTTAACTTTTCTTTTAAGGAAATCATCTTATTAATCTTATTCTAATGCAGTCGGTTCTAAATGGTGGTTTCTATATAATTGCATCTCGGTTCTATTAATTGTCTACTGATTTTCTGTACGCTTAAATTGAAAGAAAGCAAAGGAAAACGTTCGAGGAGATAGACGTTTGAAACTTTCCGGTTCATAGGTTCACACCTCATTAACCTAAATCCTACCAGGATCTATGGCTTTAGAGTATACATCAAGTTTTGAGTAGATCGTTAAAGACGTTTTGTATATTATTTGGTAATGCATTTATTATAAAGTCATTACTGGGATATGAATCTCAATAGTATTTGAGTTAATAATAAAGAAAATATTATTGACACCTTAGCCTGGAATATATGTTTCTAGACTAGTGACATGGTTATATAAGTAGCACTAGATGATAACCTGCGTTTAAAATTTCTCGCTGTTCTAAAAAGCTATTTCTTCGTACAAGAATCAATTCACCTTTAAGACAGAGTCTGCTGAATCAGCCTCACTAATGAATCGGTCTTACTAATCCGCCAGAAACCCACGACAGGACGCTAAATCTCTTTGACGAAGTATCTTCGAAATTAAAGGTTTTCTACGCAACGAAAAAAAAACATTATGAAGTTGACATATCCAATAGAATAGCAAAAACTCAGAGGTCAGAATTACTTTCACTGTAAAAAAGAAAAGTGAAAAGAACTCTAACAATTTTAACGATGAAATAGTTAAATGAGAAACAGAAGGTTGAGGATTCTTTGTCAAAGATGAAGATTAAATTTCGACTTCACGTTAAGTTGAAATTGACTTGTAATTACATTAATAATTTTTTTAGAATAAAACTTAGGAAGAAACTTTACGATAACGTTAAACTTCTAACAGAGTAAACTAACGATATAAACTGTACGAGAGGAAGTTTTAACGTCTCGATATGCTAAGCACCAAAACAAACAAAACACAAGTTCCCACGTAAAGAGTTTCATAAATCCATTTTCCATTCATCGTTTCAAGCGTATAGTACATCCCCGTTACTGCATACCATTCAACGGTAGATATTAATCAGCAACATACTTTCTAAAAATATTGAAAGAGATTTACAACTTCGTTATTCGGTCTTTCTCATTTGTCTGCGCTCAAGAGAGAAACACTTTGTCCGGGGTACGAGTAACGGGAATTGCAGGCAAAGCCGCGTAAGAAAAACACCGAAACAATGTAACGTTTCGCGTTACTTTCGTGTAAACAGATGCAACAAGTATCGTAACGAAAATGTCACGAGAGTTAATTGGACATAAACATTTGTTGTTCCAGGCGCTCTATCGCAGTCGCAGTTTCCTGTGTTCACCATTTACGCCCAGAAGAGCTGTCTGGCTGTGAAGCCTTGCGAACGAGCCTGGTGCATCGACAGGGTCCAGGGGCATAGGCTTCAGAGCCACACGCGCAGATCTATGACCGCCTCCTCGCGACAGCACTGCCTCGAGCTCTGTTTAGGCGAGAGGGACTTCCTGTGCCGGTGAGTACCGTCGTGGCTATTTCTCGTCGGATGCATAGAGAATCGTATTCGAGGGAACGGTCGTTTTCCGGCAACTTGGTTTCTTTTTGGTCGTCGTCGCGGACACGATATCCGCCCGGTGGAAAAGGCGGACGCACTCGTCCCGAGATTCGTCGCGAATAGACATACAGCACGGTCTTCTCCTCGTCTCCCTCGAGTAGGTCTTCGAGAATTGAAGGCACCTCTGCACGCTCCGGTGCGTTTTCCAGTTATTGGATTCTTCGGTCGAGGGACGACGTTACATCACGCTCCTATAGACTCTCGAGTGTTTCTCGGTCATGAAGCGGCCATCCCCGACGTTTCATGCGCGCTGGAACACCAAAGGGAACGAGCTATCCTTGTGGAAAAGTTGCAGAGAAATAGCTCTGGGGCCACCTTGATTCCTCGTGTGTTCGCCGTGAAACGAGACGGGTATTCGCGATCTCTGCTCCCGCGAAACGCGACCGTCGATTCTATTTAAATATTTTTCGCGCGTTTTACCACCGCACTCTTCGCGCCCGTTGAGCAATATTTTCCCTCGACGTCTGCTCGAGGGGACCGCGGGAATGTTTGGATCGCGGCTGCGATAATTATGTCCGCGTCGTTGCGCGTCTCTGGATCGAGGAGGAAAATAATAAAACCGTTACGCTGCCGCGTCTGGTCCCTACCAGTACGCTTAATAAGGACAAGATGATCTTTAATAAGGTTACAGAGTTGCTTTTTTTCTGAATCGTAAACGTTTTTTCCTTTCCATTTACGACTTTGGAGTATCTTTTAATGGTATCGCTGGATTATTATATCGTTATTGGCAGTTGCTAATATAGGATTAAAAATTTATTTGTCACCGACCGGAAGGTATAATCTAATCCAGTATAAAATTTTAATTCTAGATCACAGATCTATCTAGTATTTGTAAATTGTTAAAACCACTCACTGCACCAGATGAATATAGCTTGAAGCAAATACGTAAAATAATCGAGTACGATATCAATTACAAACGCGTCATTTTCACAAAAATATAGACAAGCGTAAAAATAGCAACGCCAATTAAGAGCTAAAGATAACTAGGAGCGACCGAAAAAAAGTTTGATTACAAAATTAGGGGTGTAGTGTCGAGATTTTCCGCGTAAGTGTGATGAGACAGGAAGTCGCTCGAATGCCACGATGTCAAATTATGAACGATTATCCGAATATATAATTAAGCTTATTACATAGACTTTCCTTGACTATTCATGCACGTAGGCTGAAACTGAGAGTGCACCGAAGATGATCCCATTCCACAGGATGTCAATTTACGAACGCTTATCCGAATATATAATTTAGGTCATTACATAGTAAGACTTTTCTTTGGTAGTCGAGCAAGCAGGGTGAAACCGAGAGTGCAACGAAGACGACGCGTCGGGACAGGAAGTCGTTTGACTCCAGGATGTCAATTCATAAACGTTCATCCGAATTTATAATTGAGGTCATTACCTAGTTAGAATTTTTATTCCGTAACTATGCAAATGAGAGAGCAGCTGGACGTCGTTTTAAGTATATATTCGAAAACGAGTCAGTCTCAAATTCCACTCATTATTTCGCCAGTGGAATGTAACCGCGCATAATCAGACGCTTTTAAAGAGCATTACGGCGCTATCACTCGCTTATAAATAGCGAGGAGAGAGCAAATGACTTAAAACAGGTTGAAAGCAGTTTAAAAATGGGCAAATTTTGATAAACATTCCTTACATAACGTTTAAAGAAATATGACGTATTTATTCGTATTAAAATACTCGGATATTTTCTAGTTTCTGTTAATACAAATAAAAGAATATAGTATCGCGTTCAAATTGAAGTGCTCTCTGCCCGTGAAAAGTATCAGATTGCTTTGTATTTCTAAATTATTTTCGAAGTTTCGTTTTCGACAAATACGACTTTTTCATTCCATACCAGTATATTAAAGAATAATGCAATCGTAAATATTTTTTAAAAATATGCACACTATCTGAACGTGGTTCTCGTTTTCTGAAGGTTCTTAAATATTTTTAAATTTATTTCTCTATAGAAAAGTCGCTATTTATTTTTGTTCTATTTTCTATATTTATACGCTCCACTCGCTCGGTGCTAATTCATTCATCTTGATACGTACTCCCACGCAGAGGGCACAAAGTGACGCGTAGCTTTTCGCAAACACTTCGAACACAGATCGATGAAGTGGTTTTGAAGTCAATTAGGAACACTATACCATGAAGAATGTTAGGCAAAAGGGAGCAAAGGGAAGAGACAAAGAGGATACTCGTGCGTTTCAATTATACGCTGTCGGGCCATTTTACTAACTGGATTTTTCCTGCCCGTGGAAGCGCAGGAATTTTCTCTGACGCAAAACGATCGCATCTTCGATTCCCTTTGTCGAACGGTTCATTTCTCTCCGGTCTGTAAATATTTGAAACTAAATAAACGGAACACGGGGAACTTTTGAAGTTGTATAGTCATTTGGATGATTGCGTCAAACGGGAGTGCTGTTACCGCTTCGCGTACGAAAGGGTATAATTTACAGTTCGACTGCAGAAAAGATGACTCCTCGTCCATAAACAAGCGAAAAGTGTGAAATAAATTCCTTTCGTTCGAAGCTATCTCCACCGAGGAAGTTAAATTTGAAGACCTGTTGAACATTCAGTCGTTCGACGCGCATTACGATTTTCTTGTCAACGGACAATGTATTTCCAACAATTTACCAGTTAAAAAATACATTCCTGATACGCTTCAAACAATAGTATTTCGTGAGAGACTTTTACGATTCTTCTTCAACTAGTTCTAGAAGCTATTTGACAGTAATGAAGAACGAACAATTTCATACAGCATTTTAAGAATTATTTTTATAATCGACTCTGAACTATTTCTGTTAGTTGTTTGTATACGAGGTATAAAATATAGATTTTTAAAATTTTAAAGTACAGTGCTCGACTAGAATTTAAAATTGGAAGTAGTCGAGTTGACGAAATGTAATGTGATTGAACGATCTTCCAAGCGAGAGGGGGTGGAAGTAGGATCTGGCAGAGTTTAGAAAGTTTCAGTTAAGAACACAGAGGCTAGGATGACGTATGACTAGCGTTCGTAGGGTACGGATGGTACAGTGTTTGTGAGAGCGCGGAAAGTTGGAATTGTGACAAATATTTGCTCGACTGAGAAGTCGCGAGTAGATTAGTACAATGCATCGCCGAAAAAAAGAATCACGCAATGTTGAATCAAACGGAAAAGTACTTTGGCTATTTATATCATTCTTATGCTATTTCGTTTGATTATTTTGATCATTTCTTTAACCTCGATTCCAAGAATACACAACACAAAAGATTTATTCAATCTACAAAATACACTGAATTCAACCTGAAACTTATTACTGGATTTATTAATTCATATAGAACTGATTACTGGATTTAGTAATTCATATTCAATAGACTAATTTCCATACGACAAGATACTTAAAACTCATCGTGAAATCCGCGACTTGTCCAACCAAACAGAAACTTTCGTTGTTCTAGAAACTCTCAGAACTGAACTGTTGATGTTATAATACTACTCGCGAGATTGAAAATGGGAACAATTCAATTCTTTATACAGGGTGTTCGGCCACTTCTAGGAAAGATTTTAATGGAAGATTGTAGAGACCAAAATCAGACGAAAATCAAGGATACCAATTTGTTGATTGAGGCTTTTTTTAAATTTATAGAAACTTTTCCGGCCATAAAGTATATATTCGGTAAAGAATTTTTTCCTGTAAAGTACGTAGAATTTCAGAGGTATGTGTATTCACCAAAAATGATTGTAATTAACCCCAGCAACCGAAAATAATTTTTCCAGAACGATTTCATGATTTTTTTTTTGCTGAAAAATTTAGGCACATACTCGAATTTTTTTCTGTAAAGTACGTAGGAATTTGGGGGGTATGTCTAATGACCAAAAATGAATGCAATTGACTCTCACAGCCGAAAATAATTTTTCCAAAATGATTTCAAACTTTTCAATTTCGCCAAAAAATTTCAGTACTCCTGTCGATTTTTCTTAAATATGCGTTTTTCATTTTTAGTAATTTTCTTTAACGTCCTACAGAAAAGTTGTTTAATACTTTTTTTGTAGGTGGCCATGAGCTCTACTTCAGAAATAAATTTCATTGAAATATATTCACTATTGTAGGAGTTATGGCAGTTTGGATTTTGTACCATTTTTATGAAGTTTTTCTCACTTTACGAGGTCAAGACATAACTTTTCGAATATTTTTAGAAAGGCTACGTATTCTTGACTAAAATACGCGTCGCTTGCTTTTTGAAACATTAAAATCGTTCAATCCGTTCAGAAGTTATGACATTTTAAAGATATGAATGAAATTTCGGGGAACCAATTCTGGCCACACATTATATTTTTGGTAAGAAATTTTTATCTCGAAAACGCGTAGGATTTCGGGGGTATGTGTATTCACTAAAAATGATTGCAATTGTCCCCCGCGCCCGAAAATATTTTTTTAAAACAATTTGAAATTTTTTTATCGACGAAAAATTTCAGTAAAATATTCCTGGTCAGACATTATATTTTCAGTAATGAATTTTTTTCTCGAAACTGAGTAGGATTTCGGAGGTGTGTCTATTGACCAAGAATGATTGTAATTGACCCCCCGCGCCCGAAAATATATTTTTTAAAACAATTTGAAATTTTTTCATCGACGAAAAATTTCAGTAGTATATTCCTGGTCAGACATTATATTTTCAGTAATGAATTTTTTTCTCAAAACTGAGTAGAATTTCGAGGGTGTGTCTATTGACCAAAAATGATTGTAATTGACCCCCGCAACCGAAAATAATTTTACCGTGAATGATTTGAAATTTTTTAATTTCATTTTTTAATAACTTTTTGACGAAGCTTCAATCAACAAATTGATATTCTTGATTCTCGTCTTATTTTTGGCCTCTAGAATCTCCCATTAAAATTTTTCCCGGAGAAATTGAAGAATT